CTATGTAATTCTTTTAGTTTGAAACTACATAAGCTATTAATATAATGATAGATCCAGGTTTGTTTTATTCAGGAAAAGCCAGTCTCTTAAAATCCAGTAATTTAGAAGAAGGCAGATGTGAGAAGATCTATTTCCAGTCCACTGTATCAGCCTGATGTTTTGCTCAAATAGTAAATGCTTCATACATACGTAACATATTTTAAATATTTAGTTTTTATTTTTAATACAGCCTGGTGTTAACATTGCAACTATTAGGATTACAATGATTGACTATGGAGAAAGATTATTGCTTCCTTAAACACTGGCAACCTTTAACCTCCAAAGAGACGTTTGGAGCCACTTTCAATGGAAAAGGAAGCTGTAAATTCTTTCTGACATGTAAAATAAAGACAACTGTGATATTAAAAGGTTTTTTTTCCTTTATACTTTGTATAAATAGCTGCACTGTTTGACTTTTGAAAATGTGCCGGCAAAATGTCGTTTTGTCTAGCAGCGAGGATGAAGGAACAACATGGCATGCAGCGCCTTTCAGAGGCTCTTAAAGAAGAGGCAGGCAGGTACATAAGCTGTTAAAAAAAAGCTGCTGCTGATCAGACTGCCTGATAGAGCGACTCCTAAATATTTATTATTTCAATTGCTTTAGATTATCACAGCAGTTAGATTCTCAATAAATTATTGAGCCTATAAATATGGTAGTAGTATTGACCCCAGAGCACTTAATTTGAAAATCTCTTAAGCCGACCTACAGTCGAACTGCAGGGCCTCTTGGGTTTCAGCCCATATATATATATATTTTTTTTTTGGGGTGGAGTGAAAGGCCCGTTCAAATAATCGGGCCTGTGGAGAGTCGGCTCTACAGTCTCAGCTGTGGCATATTTTGAATTTTGTCAACATGGAGCAAAGCTTTTAATGTGAAAGCTCATTCCTGTGATGTAATTTCTTCACCCAGATCATATATGATAAAGTATTCACTACTACTTACTAACCTTAAAGACTTGGCTGCGAGGGGTCTTGTTTCCATTGTAGCCCATATCATTCCCATTATTGGGTGAAGAAGGCCCAAGGCGGAATACATGGCAGAAAATACGAACAATCCTCAGAAGACTTTTCATCTGAGCTTCATAACTACTGGACAGGCTGACAGAGGGATGAAAACAACAAACGTGAAGTTAGTGAAACATTAAATAGAATATACTTACAATATAGCTGGAAAGATCATTTTGACATATGAAGGATGGATTCAATGGAAACGAGGGGTTTGTTCTTTTTTTTGTCACTTATATTTCATGAGTCTTTTCAAGCATATACAGGACATGGAATATAGAACAGAATAAGAAAAAAAAATACATTTTTATTCTTTTGTCCCTTAGTGCTTCCTGTAGTCTTAGTCTATATGTTAACCTTTCTATTACAGGTATGTCTTCTATTGTTATCCATTGATCCTTCGTTTGCACCTCGATCTTCATCCATTTCCTCGTGATAAACTTTTGAGCTACTTTGTCAAAAATTCATTATTTTATAAATTGTGCCGTCAGTGAGGTTACACAAATATAGCAGTTCAGGTTTAAATGGTACTTTTGCACTAAATCCTGATATACAATAAGAGCTTATGAACATATTCCAGTATTGTACAAGTTTAGGACATTTCCAGAATATATGTTCTTCATTCTTTCCAACATGGTTGTTGCGACTTTAAACTGCTTGTTTTTGATATATTGTCTGATAAAGAAACTG